TTGCTGCTTCAGCTGGCCTGCCTGCTGCTGGTGAACCCGAGGAGGAGGTGCAGCAACAACCGCAGGAGGAAGTCGAGCAGCAGCAGCAGCAGGAGCAGCAGCAGCAGCAGCAGCAGCAGCAGCACTTGAGTTTTGCCGAGTCCCTACCGTGGCGTTGTCCCTTTCATCACCCAGAAAGCCAGCAGCGGAGTACAACAACAACAACAGCAGCAGCAGCAGCAGCAGCAGCAGCTGCAGGTGTAGGGCCTCGACGAGGGAGACACCTGCATCGTGGCCTCGGTCCCGGGAGCAGCAGCAGCAACCGCAGCAGCAGCCGCAGCAGCAGCCGCAAAGGGCCCCACCGCCGCCACCGCATTGCAGGCTGGCGCTCGTACAGCTCGCGCCCATACAGCAGGCCCCGACAGCAGCAACAGCAGCAGCAGCAGCAGCAGCAGCAGCAGCAAGGAGGTCTGTGGTTTGGCGACATCTCTCTTAGCTTTGGCTGCCCGCTCTGTCTCGCTATTTCTTTGTCTGCTGCAGCACGAGGCCGTGCGGTGCATGCGATAGACACGTGCATAAGCAGCGTACAGCAGCAGCAGCAGCAGAAGCAGCAGCAACAGCAGCAGCAGCAGCAGCAGCAGCAGTCTGTGAGTGAAGAGGCCGATTGCTTACCATCGCCCCAAGAAGGGACCCCGCGCCACCCCTACGTTAGTGCTGCGGGGCTGCAGCAGGAGCACGTGCATCTGTCTCCGCAGCAGCAGCTGGAGCAGCAGCTGCAGCAGCAGCTTGAGCAGCAGCAGCAGCAGCAGCGGCTGATCGAGGGCCGGCTCTTCTGTGCAGACAACGGAGAAGTGCAGCAGCAGCAACGCAGACACAAAGCCTTTGATTTAATTATTTCAGCTCTGCTGCCGCGGTCTCTAGGCAGCAGCAGCAGCAGCAGCAGCAGAGATACTCCACACTCTGCTGGCGCTGCAGCAGCAGCAACAGCAGCAGCAGCAACAGCAGCAGACGAGGAAACCCCCAATAGCCGTAGGGCGCAGTTTGTATCTTCTCTCCCTTCTCGTGCTCTTGCATTGGCGGGTGCAGCAGCAGCAGCAGCTTCAGCAGCAGCAGCAGCAGCAGCAGCAGCACCAGCAACACTACGTCGCCGCCACAGTGCCAGCAGCACTTCCACCCCAACTGCCGCCACCCCCAGCACCACCACGAG